GGAAGTCATCCCGCAAACTGGATTTTTGGCCTTCTCCCCCTGGAAGGATTGTTTTAAACTTCACACTGAGCAGGGGATTAATCTCCACAGGATCCGTTCAAGTTCTCCTGGAAATCGAAGTGGCAGTCCGCTCCATTGCTCCTCAAGGAACCAACCTAACCAAAAAACTCTCCGCCCTCCAACGAGCCCCCAAATTACTATATAAGCCCACACCGACTGGATTCTGGGAAAAGAAACCATTTTCTGCTAACGTGAGTCCCGTTCATCTCTGATTTTTGCAAGACGTTGTTCAAAAATCCCACGGTCCCTGAACTCACCTCTAAACTTCCCTTCTCACTTCTACTTCCAGTGCACCAGCTCTCTGAGTTACCCTGGATCAACCTTATTTATTATTTCAATAAACCTGTTAAACTTTTCCTCTGGTTCTCTGAGTGGTTTCCTGCATGTGGGTCAGATCTCTTAAAAACATCATGACGCCTATCTACTGAGTGACGTCACACTTCCAGCATTCGTATGGGCAAAAAAAAGAACTGGCCAAAGTGTTTTTTTCTTTAAAAAAAATGCTTAATTTTATATAACTCAAGACTCTAGTGGTGATGGTAATTAACGACAAAAGAGTACTTTCAATTAAATGTTTCATCCCATCTTTGGCCACCTGTGGCCAAAGCACAGAACTGCAGCATTCCCATAACTCCCGCTTGTACTTTATAAGGTTTTTTATTTTATTTATTTTTTTACTTTTTTCCCCCTTACATTGATTTGCCATTGGTGTCTGTGTTCAGATGGATGACAGTAACTTCAGAGTATCCAAAAAAATCCATCTTGAATATAGCGCTTTGATTGTTGGCTAGGTTGGACCCATTACATGGACGCGTTTGACGTCACATTAGCCAAACAGCGCGGGAACTCACGACCTGAAGCAACTTAAAGAAAATAGGCTACAGGCTTACAGGTGCATCGGAGCTGAACTCTTGAGGTTTCAGTCTGCTCATCAAACAATGTTTTATTCATAAAGAGTTGAATTAAAAGGCTTTTTAAAAGATTTTTTTTTAGTAAAAACTTACAAAATGTGTTTTTTATCAAAGATGTTTTTCCATTTTTTTTTTTTTTTGTCTCTTTGTGACAAATCACTGGCCCCATCCAGGCCAAAGTGGTAAATTTGATCTAAAAGCTACCTACTAATTAACTGGGATCTGTATAATTGAATTGGAATCAGATTCTGATTAAACTAAATTGTGTTGGAAAAATATGACATCAGTCTCAGAGCCCATAAAATCAGAGATATGTCGCTCAGTGTTGCTAAACTTCTTTTTTTAATTGATTCTGAAGTTTGCTTTTGGTTGTGCAGAGTTCTTCGTGGCATTTTTTTAAGCAAAGCAAAGGAAAAAAAAAAAAGTTTTAATCATTTCAGTCCATAAAGTTTGGGTGAAGTGACAGTTTGTTTCCCTCTAAGGAATCTGCACAAAATGTGTTAATCCGTCTCTTCATGGACGGCACCACATATGCAAAACAATCTGTTTATTTTTAGCCCTGCCAATGTGTTTGGCAGACACCGCCTTGGTCTTTTCATCGTGTCCTTTCTGATAAGTCATGGTGCTCGCCTCGTTTTTAATGCTTTTGTGGTGAAAAGTACAATATATTCTGCTTTTTTTTTTCCCTACCTTGAAAACAGATGGTATTCACAACTGGGAGCCGACATTTATTTCCCCCAGTGTCCATAAAATCTCAGCCTTTGTGCCACGTTATATTTTCTACAACTTCATTATTCTAAAGTTGCACATTTTACAGGTGGTTTCAATGACGGTTACAGTAATTTGATGCAACGATGGTTTTCTTTTACAGACTTAATGAGCAACAAAAAGTAGTATTTCAGACTCCTTTGTGTTGTAGCATTCAACTACACCATGTGGTATGCATGTTTTTCATTCTGCGATGCGATGTGGAGTGTTGCCTCGCAGATTTAAGAAGTGGCAGCTGTCTTTGGGAACAACTACACTGCCTTTGACTTGACAAATTCATTGTGACTGGCCTGTTTTTGTCACAGCAGGCAGATTTTTTGGTCTTCAGTCATGTGGTTTTGATTATGATGTTCATTTTTCCTTTGTCTCTAAACCTTTTTCATGTTGCCCATTTTCTATTTTAGAGGCGCAGACATCAATAAAGTATTTGCATATGTTGGGCAACTCATGTCAGAGAGACTTTAGACATAAACAAATTGGTATTCCTCCTCTGTGGATCCAAACCATCCCAGCCTGATTTAGTTCTGGATTAAACCAAGAACAGAGATCATTGCAAAACTGTCATTCTGTTGGATCTATGCCGTAAATTCATTGTGATGTAACAAAAAAAAAAAAAAAAACGTGCATTATCGCCACCTGGGATCAGAATGTTTTGGTTCAATAGTTGATATTTATAGACGTTTATACCCACAATTTCAAAAGAAAGAGACTCCCACAGCACACTGCCACCACCACCATGTTTCGTTGATGTCATTATGTTCTTTCAGGGGATTTTTTTATTTTTTTGTATTGTGAACAAAATTTATGAGATATTTTAACAGAAAAGCTCAAAATTGTGTGATTTAATAGGATATTATATAACCAATGATATTTGGGAATTCAACACAATTAAATACTGGAATCAGAATGTACTTCATCAAATATTAACCGACATGTTTAGCTTTAATTTGAATATCCCAAATACATATTTAGTTGTTTTGAGTTTTTTTTTTTTTTTTTTTATATCGTGGCATTTTAAATAATTTTTCAGTAGAAAATAATAAGATTTTAATATTGATGTTTGCATTCTGACCAGATTGTTTAACCAAAATAATGTGATTTAAAATTGATGTTATGTAAAAATGGATGTCTATGCAAGTAAAGAAAAAGGAATGTATGTGATGACTATTATTATCAATTAATTTGTCTTAAAAGGTCTTTATTTATTTTTTTATTTCATTTGTTATCTTATTTAAGAATAATCTAACCCCTTTAAATTGAGTTAGTATATGATTTTTTGAAGGCTATAAGTTTCATTTAATTATGCGGTTGAATTTCCTTAATACAAGACAGTTACTATATATATTAAATCAAATAAACATAAGTCAGAGGGTCATTTTATACAGCTGAATTAAATAAGTTGCATAAACTAAATGTTTTTGCAGCTTTCTTTTTAGAGTTTCATTTGAAGAATATAATTGTTTTTTCTTTGAAAAAAATAGAAGAACTAAACATCTTGGATATTAGGATAAACACAAAAACAAGGAGAACATGACAACTAAAAAAATTGTAGCATTAAAAACGGATTATGATTATTGTCATTTAATATAAAACAAATATTTTGAGGATGCAGTAACGTGAGTGTAGCTTTCTTACACTAAAGTTAACTTTAAATGGTTCAAATATGAATGAAAGTCTATAGTAAAACATAGAAGATAGGGAGGGATCTGGTGCACCTCACCTTGTTTTTATGTAATTTCAATAAAAGATGAGCGATTAATTAATATTGGAGCTCCAAATGCTATCTCTAAAGTTAAACCTAAAGATATAGTGGAGGATGTAATTTTTCCGGGTGGATCATCAAAATAAGTGGTCAATCATTCTGGTGAGATGTTCACGTAAGGCCATTCTATGCGCAAATCCCCATTTTCACTTACTGGTGGTGAGTCTGCAAATCTTCTTTTGGAAAGTAAGCCTCTATGAGCGATGCAAGCAGCAACTTTTAAACAGAGCGTGCACGAGGAGAAATGGGCTCGTGCACGCTCTCGCACGGGTTTAATAAGCATTCCCTCTTGTAAAGGGTTGTGCATGTCCATCCTATTTTCAAAGTGAAGAGGGCGGGTCTTTTCAAAATATTCGCAAAATCCTCCACAATACCTTTAAATACAACACTGTGAGATCAGATTTTGGATAGTGAGATTAGATTAATCCTGCATGCAAGAGAACAGACACAAAATCAATATATCATAGTCTCTGAATCCACTTGACTGAATATTGTTCATCCAAATCCTTAAACAATGATTGCTTTTTGTTACAATGGTAAATGCTGTGCCACATTTTAAAGTTAAGCTCCCTTATTTTATTTTCCGAAACACATTGAAAGTAAAACATTTCTTTCAATTTAATTTTTTTTTTAATTCCAGAAGAAGTTTCCTTTTAATATCGGCATATTTTAAATATATATATATTTTTTGCAAAAAAAAACAACAACATAGGCTACATGAACAATATAGAACATTAATCATTACAAACATTAACAACAAAAAAGGGCTTTACAGAACAAAACTATTATTTTAAAATTTCAAAATCAAATCAATGCTGCATTTGAACTAAATTTGAAGGATTCTATATAAATATTAATAGAATATAATAAAATCTGGAAATTAGGGGGTTTTTTGTAAATATTTGGAGGTGTGAATATGATATTTACCATAAATAATTAAAAAAATTAATATTTTTGTTTTGACGGGTTCACATTTCTCCATCCCAAACAAAACATCCCTAGCTGTTAAAATAATGCTAAGATTTTTTTTGATGAAAAAAAAATTGACATACCTCTCCAGAAAATTTTGGTGTAATTACAATCCCAAAAAAGATGAATAAGCTTTTCTTCCTTAGTTTTACAAAAAAGTACACATAGGGTCCAAATCTCATTTATATCTTTTTAATCAAAAATGCTTTAACAGGATAAACATTATGAATAATTCTATAAGAAATTTCTCTTACTTTATTGTTTATTAAGTATTTTTTAAGGAGCAACCAAGTCCACTTCAAATTAATATTTTCAAAAGTTTTGGATCAATAAAATATACAAACTGGTGTAAAAACAACATCTCCTAATAGAATATTTCTTAATCTTTTGCTAGTTGTTTTCTTACTTATAAAAGGAAAATAATAATGAATATAAATGGAGTTTGGATCAAAACTTGGCACTGAGTTTCTTTTTTTTTTTTACATTTTGACCAAACATATCTACATAAGGGTGACGTATGCCAACTTCCGCCGACGACGCGTTTGTCGTCAGCCAAGATGGCGGCGAACTGTGGTCGCGTTGTGAGATTGTTATTGGGAAAAAGTGTCAAATTCGCCTCGCCTTGCAACCCACTTACCCCGCAGTTATGCCGACAGGTAAACACTTTAAAATACGAAATCAATAAAATCGATTTTGTGTAACTTTATTTATTAATATTGAAAAAAACATAGACGTCCTTGTGTTAGCATGTCCTGTTCATCCGAAACTAGCTTAACGGATCTCTTAAATAAACTAAATCAACCTCAAAGTTATTCTAAACAAAGTGTTTTTATTTTCTCGCGAGTTTATTTGACATATTAATGTTTTATGTACAGTTCGGCTTTTGTTATATCCTATTTTAGGTTTTGGGTGAGTTGTTCGAGGGATAATGCTGCATTAATGACAGCTCTGCTGTTTTTTCGCAGATATCCTGCTCTTCTGCCCTTTGCAGGAAGAACCTGGCGTCCTTAGGACCGGAGAAGTTCACCGCAGAGTTTATCCAGAAGCAGATAGAGGAGTTTGAGATCGGGAAGCGTCACCTGGCCAACATGATGGGCGAGGACCCCGAAAACTTCACTCAGGAGGACATAGATGTGAGTTTATTCGCTAGTTATAAACAGTGGATTTTTGTTGAATCTGTGCATTGTCTTATTTTATTTAATGCAACATAACATTTCATTTACACATGTGCAACAAAACCTATCAATTCCTGGAGGTGCAGAAAAGAATCAGAATTTTCTTTTAGTTTGTGAAACCTTCAGTAATTCTACATAAAATCTAGATAGGTGACAAAAGATATTTGCTTATTTGTTTGTGTCATCAATACCAGTGCTGTAGAATGAAGAAGAAACTACACAGAACCCGTTTGACAAAATGAAGTAGGCAGAAAGAACTCTTAAGATCAGCACATCCTTCCCCGATAGAAACAAGACGATCGAGATCAACCTGCCTACAAAAACAATTACTAAGCTTTAACAACTAATGTGACATCAGCTATGATTCTGGCTACAATATTGTCTTTGTTTTACACAATCAACCTTGTAAAACTAAATTGTAGTTATTTTTAGAGATGGAGGAAGTTTGTGAAAGATGGACAACTATAACCTGCTTATGACCTACATCAGCTATGGAGGGTTAAGCGAGAAAAATCTAATAAATAAACATAGAATTAAATGGATGGGTGTGAATGTGTAATGCAATAAATAAATGCTGGAGTTTATCGCTGTAAAGGTAAATTGCAACACCTTTTTGAGGTTACTTCTGCCTTTTTCAGGGATAATATTGGCTTTAGAATAAAAAAATGCAGGAAGAAAATACCTTATCTTGCTAAGTAGGAAGCAACCAATCAGACATCAGGAGGAGTCTTTAGGAGTTTCTATGGAGGAGTCTTTAGTCCTATCCGCTGAGTTTGATGAAGATTGCTGAATTAAAGGTATTGTTGTAAAGTTTTTGAAATTTTTAAAAGACCCACCCTCTCCATGCACAACCCTGTAGCTCCAGACGCCTATTAAACTCATCCACAAGCCCATTTCTCCTCGTCTACGCTCAGTTTAAAAGTTGCTGTTTGCATCCCTCATACAAGCTTACTGTGTCCAAACGTCCGCCTTCACCTCTTAATCCTTCAATCACTACATAAAGCGGGGACTATAGAGTTGACTCTATAGCAAACTCATTTAACTTACCGTTCAGACGGATGATCACCGCTTTTGGCTCCCCTTTGGCAAATTCCTCCTCCACTACAAGGTGTCTGCGCCATCTTTAATAGTCACTGCTGTCAGGTAGTGACAGCCTATGGTGACAGCTGGCCCATAATGCTTTGTGCAGAGAGCTCTCCACGCATAGCATTCCAGGATATATCTGCCTCTTCTGACGCATTTCTTTTGTTGTCATACATTTCGTAGACTCTTTTTCTCTTACGACCCATTTTTAAATTGAGAAAAGTGAGCTTTAATGATTGGCTGAAACTTTAGCTCACCACAGATACACGCCTTAAAGTGCACATGTGCACAAACAAATAGCTAACGGCACGAGCATGTAGGACGGCCTTACGTAAAGATATCACCAGAATGATTGACAGTTAGGAGGACCACTTATTTAGATGATCCACCTGGAAAAAGAACATCCTCCACGATACCTTTAAAAGTTTAAAATGTTTTATGTTGAATCATCATAAATGCCAAGTGAAATAATTAAAAGAAAAAAAATCTATTCATTGTTGAAAAGCTGTATTTAATTTAATAGCATATTTCATTATTTAATTGAACTTTTTATGATTTAATGGTATATTTAATTCTTTATTAAATAAATAAATAATACATTTTATTATTGTATGCTATTTTTATATGTTTTTTATTTTCTCCGCTTTAATGCTCCATAAAAAGCAGCTGTATTTTCTTATTTCTTTATTTTTTTGTGTCTCAGAATAAAAGTTGTTTAAAACCATAAAATATTGCTTTAACTTTTTTCCAGATCAGGAAATGTTGGAAGTAAGAAAATATTCCTTTCTATAGATGTTTAATTTCACACCTCAGACTCTTATTTTTTGAAGAAATAGTTCAAAGTTGGGTTGATTTTTTTTGCCAAAATGAAAGAAATCCTGCAAAAACAATATCAGGTATATCTCATATCTTAATGGACGTTTCTTTATCTTCATCCAAGTGATTAAGTTAGACTTTTATTTTGTAGAGAAAGATTCTAGCTTTATGTTTAATCAGTGCCTTTGGCCTGGCGTCCTTCATCTAACCTGATTAGTCACACCTTCCGACTCATCCCCCACATGTTTGTTTGCTGTTTTGTTTTGTTGCAGCCAAATTTCCAAACATTTAGCCCAATTTTCCACTTGCCTTCTGCTCCGTCCCCTCAAGTAATCAATAGAGCCATCTGCGGCGAGCCGTGAAAAGCGAGGCGACGGGGAACGGCCTCGAATCTGGAAAATCGGGGAGGACTCTTGATGAGTCCCTGCGCTCTGGTTTGGAGTCGGTACGCCTCAGGTGTGACGGACAGAAAGAGCCGGAGAAATTCAAAAAGATGTCAGCAATCAGGGCGGGGCAACCCCTGCCACACGACGCAAAAAAGGCCTGACAGATTCTATTTCTATCAGAAACCTCTGTTCCCTGAAGAGATGCCATCTTAATCGGACATTTTTCTTTCAGAAAAAAAAAGATCAATGTCTTTTTTATTTGGTAAAGGCATAAACCATTTCTTTACAGAATTTCATACATTGTTTACATTTTCCTTTCCCAAAGGTGTTGATTTATAAATACAAACAAAACAAATTACAGAAGCTAAGACAAATACAAATGCATAATTAAGAAAAAAAAATTTCAAAACTTTAGAGAGAACACTTTAATATATTAATCCATACACGTTCTGTATTCCTATCAATTCAGACGATGAAAATTATTACAGTTAAAGTTCCTGAGCAGTTAAAGTTTTTCTATCTCCATAAGTACAGGTGCCAATGTCTCTTAAAACAATTTATCTCTAAACTGTAATTTTGCTGTTATTTTTTTCCTTTCCTATCACTTCTTTAACTCTTTACCACCAAAGGTCGGTGCTCAGTTTAATTTTTCTTTGCAAATAGTTTCAATCTTTTTCCTCCCATCATTCCAATATTCTTTATTTTTGGGACAATCCCAGAATATATGTTTGTAGTCTCCTTTCTGGCCACAGCCGCTCTAACACTTGTCTGACATTTTACTGTATTTCGATGAGATACTTGGTGCAATACATGATTGCATTTTTGATTTCCATTCAATGATCAATGTCTTTTTAAGAAAAAAAACTCTTCTCATGTTGGATTTGAAGTTTCCAGACTCTGATGTCAGAACATGTCCTCTATAAAACCAGTGGGATGTTTTTAATCGTTTCTTTCAGAGGTAGACTGATACGCCTGCCAGACAGGATTTTCTCAAATATTGGTGTTTTCTTTCTTTTATGGACTTAGTGGGACGTTTTTTTTCTTCTATCACATGAAAAAAAAAAAGTGAATTAAAAGAACATGTTTGAGTAATATACAAAGAAAAATATATTGCAGTTCTATACAATACAAAAAAAATAACCAAAATCCTGTTTTCATATATACAAATTTGTGTTAAAATAATTAATTGGATTAATCGATTATTGAAATAATCGTCAACTTTTTGATTTATTGTTAACTGGAATTCAGAGACTCTAAAACAAGCCTTTAGCTGACAAAGCAAACCATTTATAGCAGTAGATATATCAGCATTGTAAGGAAAATATAAATATTTTGCATTTAAGATAAAAAAAAAAACACTGTTTGGTCTGTCAATGCGCTCTATCCAGAACTGAAGATGAAAAGTTTTATTTTCACCTGTTTTAATTTTGTACAAAGTCTTCCTCAGGGAACCTTTTGATATGCGAGTTTTAATCAACTAATCAAAAAAATTAGCCACGATTACATGATTTTTTAAAATAGTCGTTAGTTACAGCCCTAGGGCTCCAAGTTGCCGATTAATGAATTCAACTAAATTTAACTAACCTTATGTAGTTATGATTTTAACTTTCTCTTGTATCCATTACATGGACTGTTTTTGTTGCTTAATTGATAAAAATAGAACTTTATTATATTTTATCATTTTATTGTGCCAGCTGTATTAAGCACTGACTGAATTAACAAATGAAAGGTTTTCTTACACATTATTAAACCTATTTTTCAAGTTATAGCAAAGCAGGAAACTATTACATGACCATATAAAAAGTAAAAGATATTTGAAACAGTTGTGATTTCCAATGAACAGAGATGTAAAAATATAATCTAAAGAAAAAAAGGGGGTATTTCGCGCTCACATACCGTCAGTTAATCTCTCACTCAGGCCGTTTCTCTTCTCATTCTCGTCTGAAGCTGCATTTAACCTCATGTTATTAATACACTCTAGATAATAATACATTCTAACTTTTCTCATTTAGTGGGGGAATAATAATGAACACAGATAAGCAAAGATCGGATTAACATTTTGCCAAATGGCTATGCCGAGAGAGGGCTGCTACAGACGGGCTAACGTTAGCCCTGTCTGCGGTTAGCCTCGGAGCTCAGCTGGTTGCCACAATCCTCGCAACATCGGAACTTTTTTTGAAATGATGCATTAAATCAGTAAATAGGCCATATAGTGATAGGGCTGGGCGATATGGCAATCATAAAATATCACGATTTTTTGATTATATTATTGTGATCTCGATTTTATCACGATTTTTTAGATACAACCAACATAACTACAATTACATGCAAAGAAGAGAAAAATTAAATACATAATTAGAGAATCAAAGCAGTGCTAACAAACTTATTTTTTTAATGTCTATATTGTAAACACACCAAAGAGTATAAAAATGCAATAACTCCTGAAACAATTACAAATTAGTTACATTTTTCAAGTAACTACAGTCAAAATAAATAAAAATTCTAACTGTATCTTAGTGCAGTTTTATCACTTTAAAGTCTTGACTGGTCTAATAAAGTAAAAGAAAAAGAAAGCACACAGAAACTAACTTGAGTTAAAAAAAAAAACATTAAACAATAGATTTGTATAATGCAAGTATGCATAGTGCAAGTCAAGATGTAATCTGTGCAATCTATGATGATATGATCAGGAAAATAGGCTGTCTGCAGTGTTGCATTTCATAGCTCCCAGTTGCTGATGAAATGTATGGTTAAGCTTAAATACAGCTCTGACGTGCGGCTGGACCAGAGGTCAGTTGTGGTGGCAAAGAACTGCACATTTTTTATATTTTGTGAAACTTTCTCTCTGCATTCAGCGTACATACGTGGAATAGCGGTGTTTGAAAAATACGTGCGGCTGGGCAACTCGTAGCGTTGATCCGGAACGTTTAACATTTTATCCTACTCCTTCTACGGTTCGTAGAAGACATAAATCTTTCACCCAGTGAAACGTCACCGACCGCTTCTGTCACGCTGTTCCACCGTTTACTGCCTTTATTGTAGGAAGCAAGTTTTGTAAATTAATCTGTTAACGTTAACTGATTTTTAAACTAACGGACGAACGTCAAACCCTCGGATTATGAACAACAGCAACAGAAAAGGGAACTTTTAACTTAATACTCTGAGCTCTGTTAGCAATCCACTGGAGGCTGCTGCCGCCGTGGTGCATGCTGGGACAGCTGTCAATCTCAAGAACGGATAAGTCTGCCCTGATGCATGCTGAGTAAATAGGGAGGGGCGAGAACAACATCAGGGGACTTTAATGTTCTCTGTCTTGTTCTTTTGAACTGGAACAGTACTAGGGCTGAGGATGATGAAGTATTTCAAGTACATGAGAGCGCACAAGTACACATGTTGATAAACGGCTTCTGTTTCAGTGAAATAGGGGAAAAAAGCCTTTCCCATTTAGAGTAACGCCACCTTCCAAACAGCGGAGAAGCTACGCTGCTCCGTCACGCAGCTCGGTTAAATGGGCGCTATGTATGTGAGAACTTAAGGGGTTTATTAAGTCTCTTTATTAGGGATGCACGATATTGGGATTTTGGCCAATATCCGATATGCCGATATTTTAACACTCATGTAGCCGATAACCGATATCGATACCGATGTTAAAGCTGGACAAAAATAAGTAGACATTGAAAATAGCAGTTTTGTTATCCATTTCTGACACTTTGAAAAATAATATACTCAAATAT